GTAGGCTGCAGCCTCTGCTGCAGTGGGCTGCCGTGCTATTGTGAGTGGCTGGCAGTCAGCGTGATCAGCTGGCAGCCCCGAGAGATGCCAAGAGCCACCGTGAGTGGCTGTCTAGTGGCCAGCAACCAATCTGCCTCAGCCGGGAAGAGCACGATGATCACAATACAAACATGGGCCAGTGAAGTGACGTCCTCCACAACTAGACTGAAGAAAAAAAGGACAGCAACTTGTCTGTTTCCTTTCCCCCGATTCCCCAACAATGTTCCCCTCCTTCAATTCCCCAATAAAATCTTAAAAAAGAAAAAAAAAAGATAAAATGGGTTGCCCTCTATCTTCAATGGACTAGCAATCTATTTGAGAAGACAAAGCATTTTCCTTGCACAGAGAGAAATGTTTTTGTTGGATGTACTAAAACAGTGTGGAAGGTCAAGGAAGAGTGATATTCCTAATAGTTGTAGATTACGTGGCATATTTTGGTTATACAAGGAAAAGTCATCAGTAGCATGTAGTGGTAGAAAGACTGAAGAATGTTGGAAGGGTAATTAACAAAAGTTATCTAAAGTGTCAAAGCTTCTTTCCAGGTTCTTACTTGAAACATGGAGCTGTCCCAGAAATTGGCACTAAAGAGAGGTGCAGGTTCCTCTTCTCCTTCTGTCAATTAGATTTTCAGTGTCGTGCATCTTCATGAAAAGAATGCTATATTCATGAAATTAGCTCACAACCTAGTGTCAAACTATAAGTCAACCAGTTGCAGGTTACTGTAGATGATACAAAACTTAATTAAGACCCTCACTGCCATCTATAAGTTTATGGCGTAGTAGTGGAGATTAGACAAGTGTGAAAATGACTTATACAAAGTAGAATGAGGTAAGAATGAAGTCATGGGATGTGAGATTGTGACTATGGCCGATTGCATTTTCAAAAGTGGTCAGAGTACTATTTTGCATCCCACATGCTCTTCCAGAACCTTGCCACATCCTCACTTAGAGGTGGAATCTTTTTCCCTTCCCTCTTGAAATTGAGCAGGACTTTGAGTGGCTGCCTCTACAAATAAAATGAATTGAAAGTGATACTGCCTCACTTTCAAGGACATGGCTTGGCACCCAGCTGCCATGTTGTGAGGAAGCTCAGGCGAAATGGATAAGCCCCATGGAGATGTTGGAGCTGATGGCTTCACCTG